TGTGTGTGTGTGTGTGTGTGTGTGTGTGTGTGTGTGTGTGTGTGTGTGTGTTTGGATTCTATGCCCACACCTTCCCTTCGCCTTTTGTCTCCTTTTCGAAAGACATGAGACGAAACGCTCGATTGCACCCAGCGATGAATGCCGAACGGCTGAGTCAGCCAGGCGAGCATCGGCCGGGTCACGCCCTGGMTGTACATACACTCACGCAAGTTTACACAAAATAACAAAAAGATGCTGCTTTTGCAGTTTCAGTTGTAAGTCCTTTTCATGTTTTCGTGTGACTGTAAGGAAACACCACGAGGAAACATTCACAGGTGTACACAGTGAGGGAATTCATAAATCCACGTCCGAATTCCCACAAACACACAGGGAAAAAAAATGCTTGTGCACACCGAACAGTAAAATAAGGGCAAAAAGATGTAACTAAATTAGAGTTTATGCAAGTAAGCAAAGAGCAAAAGTCTTGACCTATCCCTTGATTCTTCAKATTTTGCTTCAAAAATGTAATTCTACAAAGTTCAGACGTCCTGCTTCAGGCTTCCTGGAGTTTCTCTTTGAACTGGCAGCTTCTGTWCTTTTCGGTACCTGACCAAAGCCACTTACCTCTGACCAATGAACCATTCAGACATCAAACAGCTCCTAGACTTATTGTTGTGTCAACACACACTGCAACAAATTAGCAAGAAAAATCAACTTGGAATAGGATGTTTCAGCACATTGTTACCAGCAGTCCCATTTCTTTCGCTGAGTTTTCAAAAGATGCCAAAGATAACACAGTTAGGCCCAAACAGTAAAACAGCATTTATCGTTTGATTACAAACTTTTGCGTAATACTGTGTGCTGCTGTAACATTTAGCGGCTTGTTGAAGGGCCTAAACACAGACAAGCAGGAGGCTGATAAAAAAGAAAACCTACAATTTATGAATCACAGGCCTTCATGTCTTTTGGAACTCATCTTGCCAACAGCCTTTCAGGCAGTGGGTTTAAAAAAATCTAAAAGCAGATCTCATGCAATCAGAGAGTGCCCAATTCAAATTCAATTGTTGGAGTTGACTCTAAACTACTACCACACCAAACTTAGCTCAATATCTGTAAAACCGACGGGGGTTATAACAATTTTCGTTTTTTCTAAACCCGTTCAGTTGCAGTCACGTGAACGGCTTGACTCCACAAGTTAATCAGTCGTGGACGTGCATCCAATGACCTCTTTCCAAGAGTTTCCTGAAAAGTTTGCCCTTTGGTTTGTGAGACAAACGAATGCACGCTCAGACACACAAAAACAATATCTCTCCACCTTCACAGTCGATGAAAATAAAAGAGCAGGAATGCGAGGCGGCGTTACAAGGCACGACATGAACACAAATGACAGGGATTAAGGTGAGATGAACAAGAACAAGCAAGATGACAAACACTGAGAGAAAACAGAGAGAGGACATYGACCTCATGCTTTGCTTCAACCAGGACTTTCCTCTGTTTTGGAAGTCGTGAAACATCCCAAAACAGAATAATAACTCTTTATTATAACGACTGGGTCGGTAGCTTTTAGCTCTCTTTGTTGCACATCTTAAAAATGATCTGGCTTTAATCTTCACAATGAGTTATTCAGCCAGTATGGATGTGCTGAAATGTTTCTATTTTGCTGCCTGTAATTAAAGAGTTTTGCATTAAAAAAAAACTTGACGTGTAAAGCCCGTTTGTCATTACAAGCCTACTGTGCTGTGCAGGAGACAAAGTGTTTTCGGCTGTTTCCGGAATTAAAAAAATGTCTGATTCCTGTCAGAAAGCTCTGATCTATTGTGTGGCGATGCTGCGCCACACAACTAGTCTATTTTTAGATTTTCATGTGTTTCTTTGCCAAGACTTTCTGTACAGGAGACTGCAGAGTAATTAAAAGGTCTCTGTAATTCATCCCAGTTATTTTTTTTAACAAGTAATCATCCCAGGAAGTAGTAAACGACATATGTTAGATCTTAATACCATCTGGATATCGCAGCTGAATTATCTTAAATTTGGTTGGTTTTGTTTCAGTTTTGTACGTCTGTCAGTCACACGAGAGCTGAACTGAAAATGCTCTCGTAAAACCAGAAGGAGCAAAGTGGTGAGGCAGCAGAAGGGGCATACAGGGAGGAGGATTAATGCGGGACCACAGGTGCGCTGATTGCAAACGGATAACAGGTGGTGTGTGTCAGTGGGCACTGTCAGCACCCCCCCAGAAACTAACTGATCTTTTTCCCTCTGACCCAACCAAGTTCACATCAAATGTTTTCCTCAGCTGAACCCTTTTTTCTTCAGCCGAGAATCTGGGATTGTAAATTCCCCGAGAGTCTCTGTAATTGGATTATCTGGTCTTAGAGCACRTTTTGTTACAAAGAAGCTATATTATTTCATCCTTTTTCCTTTTTGGTTGTTCCAGGACAGCCAAAAAAAATACTACTGAAAAATAGAAAATGTGAGCGAGGTAGTGGAGTTACTGAAGAGATACAAATCACCTGTGTGAGTTTTTATTCGGTTCAGTTAATTATATGCAGCRCCAATTCACAACCCTAACTCACAGCACTGCGTAAAAACATTCACATACATTATAAAAGGCCAATTAGTAAAAAAAAAAATTGTAGAAAAAGCAAGCAGATTATACTGAATCCAATCGAGCAGAGAGAAGAAACGTGTCCTCCAGCTGTCTAACTAAGGGATAGCTCMGTAAACCCAAACYGAACCMAACTAAAGGATTAAACAATAAAAAAGGGAAGTTTCAAGCTTAGTTTTAAATTACACAAAATGCCAACCTCACAAACTGAGGAGCTTGATAACTGAAAGCGCTGCCTCCCATTCTAGTATGATCAAAACTAACACCAAAGTTCTTCATTAGAACTGCTGAATTAATGCCATCCAGAGGAAATAAAGGTTGCAAAGTTAGTTTCTAAGATGCTCAGGTGTAAAAACTACAACCTCTGTCTTTAAGACAAGCTTATAATCTAACTCAGTGATTGGATTTTTTTCAGGTTTCGTGGATACATATATAACTGAGTGTCATCAGCGTAACGATGAAAATCCATCAAGTGCTGTCTGATAACTTTGCCT